TTTGTATATTATTCTAAAATAATAGTTTTGCATAAATATCGTGGTGATGGATAGTGATATGCTTTGCTTTGCCTAGCGCATCAAGGTTCCTTAATTTTTCTGCAATCTATTTATCAGTATGATCACTCCTCATATGTTAGTGACATGAGATAAAAATGTATAAAGATTGCATGCAAAACATTTTCGGAATAAAGAGAAAAAGTACCGAAAGGATGTTAGATTAATCTAGCATAACCAAGTCCCCGAATTCATGAATCTCTGGTTCGCAGAAGTAAACTGTACTCCCGCTTTTTACTTGGGTGTCTAATCGACCCATAACCGATTAGTAGCGACTCCAAAAAGTAAGATTAATAACATGATGGGTTGAGTACCAAGTTGTGGTCAGATGGGCTTGGGAGAGTCCGCGCTAAATGCGAGCGATGGCCTCGTGAGAGGAACCTTCGTTACCGTTTAGTAAGTCCGTTAACCTTTCCTCTGGTGGTTCACCTCCGGGAAGGTCACGACAGGTACTAGCTAATAAAAGCCAATTAGACTTAAAATCACTTTCTAGTAAATGATTAGCATAGCCTAGACTAGCTTCAACATTAATAGAATGAGTAGATTTATGTTCATAAAGTTAGGATTCACATCTAATCTCAAGCTTATGGGGTTCACGTCCCAAGGCTTAATAACAAGGTGTTGTCTATTCTTTGCTTGACTTAGTATTGGGTTCTCATTTGGCCTCGTATTATTTTTTAACTGACTTGTATCGGGTTTTCCTTCTCACATTTACTTTTAAAGTCTTTCAATTCTTAGATGTTTACTTACCGCAGTGCATTTCAATAGCTTGTGTGTTAATTTCCAATTCATAATAAGATAGGATTAATTCATAATTTCAATTAACCCCACAAAAACATGTTTAGGACAATAATTGGTAACCAAGAGTGTATGATCACTTAGGTCAATAACCTTCCAAGTTAGAGGTATCGAAATGACGTTAATAGAAATATGAATGTAATCAAGTCCCTGTGCTTAGAATTTCTGGTTGTTAGAGAACGAGGTAAACCTCTCGCATCTCATTTGGTTTCCACTAAGCCCAAATGGCTAGTGGCAACTCATAGAAATACTTAGGTTGTTAAGAACTAAAAAACGAAACCCAATGTTGCGTAAGCTATGGTTCAGACCCATTGGATTGACATTTTTAGGTGAACCATTCGAACCATCTTTCGAGCAATATATCTAAACTCGTTCCCCAAAACCTTAGGACGTTTTGGGATGGTTGCGACAATAGAGTTGTGACAATGTACGATACATTCTCTTTTTTGCTGCCCACTCTTTTCCTCCCTCCCCTCTTTGTGTTTGTTCATATCTTCATTGTTGACTTCGAGATTTGACCTCTACATTGGTTTCTTGCATGAGAGGATAAGTAGGGTCGACTCCCGTAATGAAGTTATGTAGAATACAACATGCTAAGACCGCATCAACTTGAGTATCAAAAGATAAAAGGGGTTCGGCATCTAATACACGGAAATGCCTTTTTAGACCCCGAATGCCCTTTCTATCGTGGACCGTAAAGATGAATGGTGATAATTGAACAACTCTTTCTCATTCTCATGTGGGTGGTCGCTAAATTTCTTCCCATGATATTGAACTCCACGACATGGAGAAATAATTCTCTGTCGCCGTCGAGGTTATTAACGTGACGTTCCGGGCTCGTCGCCGTCCTGTTTCTTTTATCTTATTAATAAGCACATGCGAAAACGCGTACGAACAAACTCTCAGACAAAATAATAGCTGGAAATCAAGGAAAGCACAACATGCAAAACACACTATTGCCATTATATCATACATAAACATATTTTACAACCCCTTGTCTATAGGTTGTTCCACGTACAAATCATATCACAAGCGAAGGCAAGGGTTAAACCTAGCTTCTCTATGTCAACCTCCATCTCGACGGGCTCACCAAAACGAACAGGGAGCGCGGAGCTCATCCTAAAAATATGGAAAACAACGGGAGTGAGTTGAAAACTCAATGAGTAAATTCACTAATACCCATGCAGGATGATGTCTCGCTGTCGTACTAATGTATACAAATATTTTTCCCACCTTACGTCGATGGCAAATTGATAGCAAAGACTTTGACCTTACCCTTGCTATGTTCACGTGAAAGCTCACATTTATCCGGTCACATAGGATGTATAAGAAAATTTACACGTGAAGCCTCGCAATCAATCGGCATGCAAAAATACCCGAAAATATTCACACGTGAATTTACTTATTTTATAGTCGAAATCCATCGGGCAATCTCTTCTCAATATGTGGGTGACGGGTCCTCCGGAATCCTTTGGCATCCGGAAACCTTCGGCTTATCAATAAACACACATACCGGTACTCATATAAGATTCATTTATCGTCATCCTAGTTCAACCAGGGCATCCCTGCTCAACCGAGACATCCAGCTTCATGCTAGGCAACCGGCTCAATCAAGGCATCCCGGCTCAACGGAGGCATCCCGGGGCTAGTTTACCGAGACATCCGGGCTCAACCAAGGTATCCTGGCTCAATCGGGGCATCTCGGCTTAATTGATGCATTGCCGCCAACGCTATGTGACGACGGTCTTCTTCTTTTATTTAGTGATCACATATTATGGATCGCACAAGCCGGTTTATTATCCTCTATCTGAATCCACGCATACAAGGCTCTAGTTGTTATATATACATGTAAATCAACAAGCATTGTTATGAACATCAACATATCATACAAACTACCGCATCCAAGCATCATGCAACCACGCTCAAGAACAGCGTAAAATAATTCATATGGGGTTCCTTTATAACCAAAATCCATCAGTGACGGTTTAGTCCCTCGTATGATCATGCGGTAGCAAACAAGACTTCGGTTCTTATTTTTCATTTTTAGTCTATTCAAGAATGAAGCTCGAGGGCGTGCAAAACATGTATATGAAATGACTTACCGTGGTTGAGTACAAATAGGTATGCCGAGCACGAATCAAGGCCCGAGACTCGAATCGCTACGCTTTAGCACAGACATAGACCAAACTTGACATTGAAACGATATTCCTCAATATCGTCCAAGCCTAAGAGAGGCCCCGATCCGACGTGCCTGCGTTTCACGTTCAATGCCGACGGGAACCTTTTCTTTGATGCATGGGATGTGCTCGACTCTCAACAAAATGAATCATGATCAAACCATACAATAACAAGCACAAACTTGTATAGGTGTACACACGAAAAATTTCACTTAAGAACAAGTACGTCATCATTGAATACAAAGTCATCTCAACAATAATAATGGTCACATGAATATTGCTAGCAAGAACCAATGCCCACAAGAACAAAACCGTTTCAAGCAACAACAACTTTCCAAGCCGCGTTCCAACCACGTAACACACCGCCCTATCCATGTGTTAGGGAATTCACTCACTTGCAAGCACAAGAAAACATCTACGGGGGTCGAACGGGGAAATAGTGGTCGGCGGCGGCGAATGGGCAAGAGAGAGAGAGAGAGGTGATCATTGTGAGGGTGAGGGAGAGAGAGAGAGACGTAAGAGTGAGAGATGAGAGAGGAAGAAGAGGTGGTGTGTGGTGAGGAAAAGAGGAGGGGTGCCTCTATTTATAGGCAAACCTTCTAACTTGTTCACCAAGTTCTTGCTCTCCAAGTTTTGACTCTCCAACTTGCTCTCTAAGTTTTAGGGTAATGATAGCCTTAATTCTTAGGGACACATTAGCTTGCATTAAATGGCTAGCTTCCAATAGGAATTAAGGCAACTTGGTCTTCAAAACAACTTGTTCCTCAAGCCACAAAAATAGGTAATTATGTCCTAAGTAGTTTAGGGACACCTAAGCCAAGGAAACCATTATCCTTATTAGAAGGCTCAGAATGTATAGATTTTGTCTTAAGAAGACATCAAATCGAAATTCCAATATTCTCATATAAAAAATTATGCATCTTTGCAATCTGGCAAAACCGGGCAGTTTTTGCATTGTTCTAGAAATCAAACTTAACAACATAGTAAATAGACTCCGAAAATTCTAAAATTTGAATATGTCATAAACAAGATCTTAAAAAATATTTCCCATGAAGAACACAAAATCTAGATCTTTCTTTAAACACAACTTTTAGTACCTCAAAGATAGACTAAAAATAGTTCGCTGGAACAGAATCCTTGCTTCTCAAAGTAAGCATTTTCCAGAATCCAAATAATTTCTAAAAATTCCCAAATTTATATATGTTATATAGAAAGAAGTTCTCAACAACTTTTGTGAAGGAAGTTTGTTCAAACTCGGCTCAGAAAAGTTTGTAGAAAATCAAGAAAGTGTGAACATCATAGAAATATCCATTCTGGGTAGTTTTGTACTGTCCAAAAACTAGGCTTTTGTACTACTCATATCAAGTACAAAAATTGTGATATTAAAATATGTTAAACTTCAAGATATTTTAAACAATTTTGAAGGGGGAAATTTCTGGAAATTAGGTCCACAAAATTATCCACAAAAATAACAAAACGAAGAGGTACAGAGGACCCGAATATGGATTTTCGAGAACAAGAACAAGAATTGAGTCCGAATGGGAAAATCACCAAATTTGATTCAACAAAACTCATACCCAGCAACTTGAATGGACATACAACACCCATTTAGAACTCAAGAACACACATGCACTTCATTTCCAGGTCTGGTCATACCTATTCATGCACAATAAATATCAAGAACCACACATGCAAGCCACCAAATATCATCTACAACTCAAATCTAGCAAAATCAAGGGTGTAGGAAGATTGGAAGGCTTATAAATGAGTCTCATCTCCTTGCTTACAGGTACGAGTAGGGCACGTGTCGCGTCCAAGACCGATCCCTGATCTCTTGGCAAACTTGATCTATAGCCATTTCCTGGGGATTGAATTTGAGGATGTTACATTCTCTGTTGGATGTCATATCTAGCATCAGCACGGTAGTATTTACCTATCAATTTTATGTAAAGTTTAAACAACATGTCGCGGGAAAGTAGGGTAAACTTTTATATAAAATATGAAATAGTCTATGCCTTTAGGAATTTTTATTCCTTCTTATTAGTTTTATGACAAGTGAAACAAGAAGAAAGGTTCAGATTAAATTACAAATAAATTCAAGCCATTTAGGCTTGGTTCTTGAAGAGCTCAAGACAGTGTTCTTGATCCAAGTTTCTGCTCCAGAACTTCTTGTAGTACTCTGCATATGTGAAGTCCCGATAAATGGGCCCATGCCCGTCTTCTAGGAGCGATACCGGTGAGCTAATCATTGCATCGTCGCTCGGGCAAAGGAACGACGCGAGCGACATTCTTGGTTTGTCAGTGTTCACTACGGCTCGGTGCCACACACTTTTGTACCTCCCATTACTCAATGCCTGTGGTACATCATCAACATCGATAGCATCGCATTTAGTGATGAATCTATGACCAAACTTTTGAAGGGGCTGAGATTAGAGATATCTTAGGATATTCGAGAAATAGTAACTATTTTATCATAAATCATAAGGTACTTCTTTAAAAAATTGAATCTGGGGAAGCGGGGCCCCCACACCGTCTCCCCCACCTAGATACGTCTCTGATCACACTTGTTTCTAAAGTTTACTTTTTCGACAGAGTCAAGGCATGTCATCTTGCTAGAGACTATAGTCAAGCGATCAAGATATTGAAAGTGTTAGAAATAAATCACGATAGATAAGGACGGAAAAGATATATATACATTTCGAATTTATCTTTGATTGGCTAAGTCGACATAATATTAATGGTGCAAATTATACTCCATCCGCAACAGAAAAAGACATGCAATAGTCACATGATACATATGATTGACTCAATCCACTTCGTCAAAAGTACCTGTAATTGGTCACCGACGTTGATGACAAAGGCATTAGGGTGAGGATTAATGGCGAGCCACTTGCCATCTTTGAGGACCTGAAGGCCTGCGACATGTAGATCTTGAAGTAGAATGGTGAGTGCATTTGGGTCAGTGTGGCCTGGGAGACCGTACGTGAGCTCTGGCTCTGGGCATGGTGGGTAGAAATTGACGGCCATGTGTTGTCCTTGTTCTCCTAGGATGTTCCTTATGGTGTCCTTCTCCAACCCTAGGCTCTCCGAGATCAGCTCTTCGAGTCTGTACCCAAGACCTCGCACTTCTCGACAGTAGTTGCTCACAAACTCCCTATCGATAGCACGTACGTTGGCAATTAAAGTTATCAAGACATGAGTGGTTAGTAGCTCAACTAGGCCTTTCAGATACAATCACTTATACGTTATTTCAAAGCTTTTTCACTAAAGGGTGAGATTGGGGCCTGAAGTTTCATGAGGGTTGGTCCATGTCCCTCCAAACCTGTCCATTGATTACCTCTTGTTCATATCTCGGGGAATCTCGATACAACGAGCATTGGAAAAAAACACAAGACAATCGCAATGAAATGAAGAAATTTTAGCTGGAACCCCACCGATTCTTGGACTCCTCAGTTAATCCAACCTCAGATGAAGTGGACTCAACTCTTCTGGCCATTCAGGCTAATGCTGGGCCTAATTTTGAAGCGTGCTTGTGCTATTTGTGGGCTACGGTTGGCTTTTCTACTGAGAATAAAGAAATGGAAGGACTGAAAGAAAAAAATATAATCTAATAAAAAGATAATATATGCTGATCATCACTCTTTTAGGTTGCAACTGGGGTGATCGGTTCTAAGGTGAGTAGATTATTCTAGATCTTAAACTTGGATTCTACCTTGTCGGGGTTGATTCCTAATATTTGAAATTAAGAACCGTTGATCGTGGAACCGACCTGAACTGAATTGCTCAGTTCTAAGGTAAATTCAAGAACTTGCCAAGGCTTCTTTTTTTCTTTTATTTTTATTTCTTTTTATTAATATGTACAACATGGATGTGTTACACATGAATACAATTCTTTCTTCTTGAGGATAATATGTCCAACATATTTAATTTCAAAAAATATTTTCTATTTTAGAAAAGAGTAAAAGAACTTACTTGGGGTTAGGGATAAATTGGTTCAAAACTGGTTTGGTTCTAGCTTCTACTCTAGATTTGACTTCTAGGTTCTACCTTGGAACCGGCCTTACAAGTTCTAGGTTCCTGAATAGAACCAACCGGTTCAAGGTATAGCATAGGGAGCCGAACCTCTCAAGGCTAGCTCCTAATTTTTGGAAACGAGAACCAGATCGGTCTCCCTTGTAAACCGGCTCAGTTGCTCACCCCCTAGGTTGTGACAAAGTCTATTACGTTGACCAATTAAACATCCACCTACCATCGCACTTCTATATGTGTACCCATTTTTCTCCATCTTGAATTTCACCTAATCACGTCGGCAGCTTTCCCTTTTGCAAAATTAAGACCAGACATCTTCTAGACAATTCAAAGTCTAATTTCCGGAAGAAAGTTAGAGAGCATCTAACTGTATATAGTCGTGCTTATAAATGTAAAGTGTGCCAATTTAAGTGGCTTGCTTTGACCGCAGATCATGACTTGAGCTCATGCCATGGTCATCAACCTAATCTACATGCCTAGCTTAGGAGTTAACAACAATATTTGAGAGTTAATGCATGCTGACTAGTGTAAAAGAAATTTCATCCCTTACGTATCCTTTCTCCTTTCGGCTGATTCGGCAATATCCATCATCTTTGTCAAGACAAACTTACGATCAAGGATAGACGTAATTGATATTTTTAGTCAATTTATTTCTTAATTTATGGTATATTGTTCAGCAAGATGAGATGCCTAGGGGATATATCTGCTAGCTCAGCTTCATCTGTTTCTTAGTCTGCATAAGCACCAAAGTCAAGGACGTTGAGTTGACTAGTCACGATTAGATGAATGCCCTACATAGGAATTCTTATCATAGCCACCTTCGTCGTGATCTAACTTTCCAATGTTTGAATTCTCGATCACAGATTGATTTTCCGATCAACACATCATGTGAACGAGAATATGTAGAGCTCAGTGCGTCAGTTTCAAAAAGACTAATGGACCTTCCCTACCATACTTTTTTATCTCCATGTGAATCCTCTCTCTTTGAAGCCTAACATCATTGAACTTGGGGACGATAAACGAATTGAAAATGGATTTCACATGGTGACAATTATAGGCCGACATCATGTAGACACAATATGCCAACATCATATAGACAAAGAAGCTACGTTTCTTGATCACTTTTGAAAATTTGACACTGCTCCTTTTCTACATTTCTGAAATTAATGTTATACCCTCAACCCTTTTGTTTAATTAGATTTAGGTACAATTTGGATATTCCATTAGTACCTCTTTTTCTTTATGATTTCCGAAACCTAAAGTAAAGGAAATGGAAAATTGGCTTGACTCTAATGGGTTCTCAAGTACTGAATATTCAACCAATGATAGAAGGGTAAGAAGAAACTAAAGTATACTTGAAGGACAGCATTTTGCATGTGATAGAAAATTGAACGTAGGGTAGATGAATTATGACATCAGCATCAGGACGTAGGAGGCTGACGTCAGGTAGATTTGGGTTTTTCTATTATTTTTCCAACTTGCGTTACCATTGATTGAGGGAATCTAACCATAGGACAAAATACAATAGTGGTCCGTTCACATTACACTCCATGATTGACGATATTTCAATAGCAATACTTCTCTTCCGTTTTTTTCGTTTTTTTAAGCAGGAAAATATTCTTAAATAATCAATGGTGTTACAATAGTTAAACATTATTAATATTTAGATATCCTAGCAAATGGTACAAGTAATCAAGACATACTAATACGAAGATAGAACATCTTTAACCCTCTTTTAGCTCATGCTCGTTCCTTAGAACACTCGATATCACGTCATCGCGACTTGGTACAAGAGCGCAATATGACCACCATTCTCATGTAAGGACCGACAACCGGGTCAACGTTCCGGCCGTCTATTTTCTCCTCTTTATTTTAATGCGTTTTCGGTGGCTGTCCCTACCGCTACTTCTAAGCAGCACATACCAATTCCACGGCAGAATCTTCCATTTGACAACAACTCTCACTCATTTTTGTGGCAGAGACCAAAAGTGGTGAGATAGTGAAGAGAAAAAAATGGCGCAAACCAATAAGACGATAAAGCCTATTGACAGTCGATTCATGTGGGTGTGGAATTATCGAAGCCCGTGACGTTTCGAGGAGGGAAAAAAATGCTTAAACAGATGGGAAGAGAGTGCTGGGAATTTAACTCGAGACCTCGACTATAATAGGTATCGGTGTCTTCAATGCGTTTTTTTCTTTTCTGATAAAGATTGTGCACTCAACCTTAAACAATTGTCTAAATCTTTCTTGGAGAAGTACAAAAAGAGACCTCATGTTTCACGAGTGGACTCTTCGTCCTTTTCTCGAGTATGAGCACATTCTTTTCCCTTTTTCTACACAATGCATATCGCATACCTGTTGATTCCCTGTGCACTCTGCTTTCAGGAAAGCCAAGTCGTTTAAAAGTTAAGAAATTCATGGGCCACATTGGTTTTTTCTATTTCAATCTCAAATCATTCTTTTGATTAGTGATTTTAAATTTTGACAGTACTGAACTTTCAGTGACTATTGCATGTAGATAACGTCACAGGTCATTATGTTCTTAAAATGAGAGAGAGAGAGAGAGAGAGAGAGAGAGAGAGAGAGAGAGAGAGAGAGAGAGAGAGAGAGAGAGAGAGAGAGAGAGAGAGAGATACTTGAACGTAGGAGGATTGGAGGGCCACTCTTCGGTATACTTGTCAAGCGGGTGACAATGGAGCCTGAGATAGTCTCTCCAGTTGTGAACCTTCTCTTTCGTCACATTGAAACTGGTGGACAGTCTCACCGTCTTCGTAGGATCCTCCGAATAAAGTTTCATTTTCTCTTCTACCGGCAGGCGGAAGAACTCTCCCGCCACCTCTTGCAACCTCTCCACCGCTTCTGTCGACACTCCATGGTTGATCACCTAATTAAGACCACGACACCCCCGAGTCCCAAATCAAAATTTTCTAGTGTATATATATTATTACCAAAGGATGAGAGTACGATATCTTTTTAAAGCTTGCTTATATCACATCATTATGTCACGTGAGATCCTCGACACTTTTCGTATCGTTAAAGTGTGTGATATATTCAATCGGATGATAAAAGCTGCCTTCGATAGGGTATTGCGGGTTGGATGAATAACGGCGAGACGAGGCCGTGTTAGGACACATGTAATCCAAGCATAGGGGAGCAACGTCGAGAATCAGGTCCAGATGCAAAATGATCAAATGAAAGGGCCACGGTCCAACTAATCGAGATATCATGGCCACAATGACTTTCCTTCTAAAAAGCTAAGTCTATAGATGAAGTAGAACGCTAATAAATGTGCCTAAATTCAAATTAGGTGTTCGTGAGACTCTTCAACTGACTCCTTAACAAAGCGAATGAAAGATCACAAATGAGTTTCACCTGGAAAAAACCGTAAAATCTGCAAGCATCGCCAATTTGGTGAACGACTTGGGATCTGTCATCACAACCCAAGTCGATGATTGGGACATGTTCAAAGGCAGACACTTCGGAGAGGCGAGGACGATCGGATTCTGATCTCACGTAGCTTCTCGGCAACGTCGTGAACCGAGTGCCACTGGATATGATTTTAGCTTCCATGCGCAAGTTAATGACCAACGACACCACAGAAACAGATAAATGAATTCTGCCCCTTTAGAGTTTGTGGGTATGGCTGGCTTTGGTGAGCTTCCGAGAAGGTTGTGTGTATATTTATGGAGCAGGATGAGAAAATATTAGGTGCATTCGATACTCTATCTAGGATATGCATTGACCCATCCAGAAATGGACACGTGGCAATAATGAGCCCACTTTTCAGACCTTTTCTCTCTCCTCAGTTATTCCTCTCTCCTTCGTTACTCTCTCTCCTCTCACCAATTTCTCACTTTTCTTTTTGCCTCCTCTCTCCTTCATTCCTCTTTCTCCTCTCACCATTTTCTTCCTTTTCTTTTTGCCTTTTGAGGCACCATGGACGACGTTTCGTGGATTGAGCGTCGCCGGCCAGCCATGGAGGACCTGCTCACGAGCACGCCGATGCGGTGGCGACCGCCATCAAGGCGGCCCACGCTGAGCTCCAGTTGGCCCAGAGCCCATACAACAGCGAGGAGATTCAGCAGGCGCACCAAGCCTTCGTCGACGAGCTGAAGCAGATTTTGGAGCGCGAGGTGGAGATGGAGGACCGACGAGACCATGGTGAAAAAGATGGAGGCCGAGGTGGAGCGCAAGGAGTCGGAGATCTCCGCGTGGAGAAGGAAGCTCGACGAGCTCGTCTCCGAGAACAGTTCATCGGTGAAGAATCTCTACGCGAGCGGTCGGCAATAAAGGAGCTCATCTCCGAGAACAGGTCATCGGCATGCTGGTGAGCGGGTTGTCCATGGCTGACCGGTGACGCTGCAATCTACAAAGCGTCGTCCATGGCCTCGAATGGCAAAAAGAAAAGGAAGAAAATGGTGAGAGGAGAGAGAGTAACGAACGAGAGAGGAATATCTGAGGAGAGAGAAAAGGTCTAAAAAGTGGGTCCATTATTGCCACGTGTCCATCTCTGGATGGTTCAATGCATATCCTACGTGAAGTGTTGAATGCACCTAATATTCAAGTGGCGGTTATGCCTTATGAAATTGATGGCTATATTTACATCCTTTAAGTTTGATACATAGCGCATTGGAAAAATGACATAAATGATCTCTAAACTTTGGCTCCATGTACAATGCGATCTCTGAACTTTTAGTTTATTCAATGTAATCCATTAACTTTACCTCAATAAATAATGTCATCACTAAACTTTTAATTTATTCAATATAACTTCTGGACTTTTGGTACATGTTCAATTTAGTTACTGGATTATATGTTGTCCCTGGACTTGAGTTAATGGAAGGACAATAATTTTCATATAGTTCAAGGACTAAATTAAACATATACCAAAATTTTAGGAACCACACTGAACAAATTAAAAGTTCGGGGGATCACATTGCACAATGAGAAAAAAGTTTAGGAATCATATTGAACAAATGAAAAGTTCATTGACTATATTGCACATTGAGTCAAAGTTCAAAGATCATTTATGTCATTATTCGTAGCGTATTTGATTTCTAAGTACTAAAGCAGAAGCCCACAGTTTTGGTTAGAGGTCCACTGCTTTCAAACTTAAAAAAACTACGACAGAATTGAACATTTCACGATCTGGGTTAAACTGATTTGGCTTTATTAAAAGCAAGAACGATCGAGTTTGATAAGATCTGTGTTGGACCCATATGGGGTTTCTACCATTGGTAACCTTTCATTACAATTTCTTCTATGTTTGGTAAACTATTGACTATAGCTTTGATACCCTTTAATAACAGGAAATAGTAACAAAGAGGAGATAGGGTACAATTAAGGTAGGATTGAGTGGAAAATTGGAAGTGCAAGCTTTTAATTACTTTACCTAATGAAGAGATAGGGTAGGAATTCGGGTACACGATCTAACATGCTTCGTAGAATGCTCGATCATATTTTTTTCAGTTTTACTCCACAAGTTAGGTAGGTAAATATGAAAACGTGATTTATAGCCCATGCAATTAGCCACGATTTCCTTCACGTGCAATTTGGAGATGAAAAGATTGAAACATAGTGTCAGCAACTTTATTTTCTTCCTGTTCTTTGCACCAGTAGCAATCTACACACAGTGAATGATTACTTAGGTGTGAGGCACGTGCTGAAAAAGCTTACTCTTTTTCCGTAAAGTTAAAAGCAAAAAGAGCAAGAAAGGGACATTCTTACTTTCTGGCAATTTTCATAAAAACAAAGGTGTTAAACCAAACATTGACAGCAAAATATTGGTTTTTCTTGGGACATAAACTGAAATAGAAACCGTTATAAACGTGATGTAATTGTGAGCCTCACGTTAACGGGGATCCTTTGTGATATTAGTGTAAAGGACGAAAGTTTTTCCATTAAAGAACGGTGGCATCGTACATTCACCGTCCACGGGCGATAGGATATGTCTAAAACTTACATCATTGCATCAGCCACCCATTCTATAAGGATTCTCGAGATCTTAGGGAGAAAGGGACATGCTAGTGTCGTGGAGCAACGTTTTTGTTGTATGTTAGGACATGTTACGTGCATTCATCGATCTTTCGATCACATGAGTTTTAATTTATCCAAAGCAACTCATCTAAGACGAGATAAATTTTAGCTCCGATCTCGTCTCTCCATATGCAATTGGTGTAGAGCGACATATATGGACAAACGTTACAAGTTTTCCGTCAATTTAGGTAAAGGTACATTGCTATACTTGCATGAGACGAATGTAGACCCTGCAATATAAAATAGGAACATTCTCAACTTGATCAATGTGCCATCTTGTCTCCTTTAACGACCAATCGTGGCTGGCAGGTGACATCGTAGTCTCGACGACTAGGATGCCAATGAGGTTTTTCGTATATGTAATATCAAGAGCCTTATTTGTTACTTTCAATAATTTTAGGAAAAATTTCTTACCACATCCAAGCCCTTCTAGATGGCGAATTTTGTATCTCTTACCATCTCTTTCTGCCATCCTTTCCCATGAGCTTTATTATGGGTAAAATTTCCAAAAAGTCCTAAACTTATTATATGGTGGTTAATTCAGTTCTAAACCTTTCAATTGTGCCAATTTAGTCCTAAACTTTTTAATTTTTTAAATTTAGTTTTAAACCTCTTGATGATTTGTCAATTTAATCCTAAACCTTTTAAAAATTTTCCAATTTAGTCATTCCGATCAATTTTGGTCGGAAATCGCTGACGTGGCGATCTAGTCAATGTTGGCTGTCCTACGTGGCACGATCGGCACCGACGTGGATAATTTTTTACAATTTTTTTAATTTTACGAACTTATTTCTTTTTTTTTCTTTTTTCTACTTATTTTTTCTTTTAGTTTTCTTTTTTCCTTCCGCCGGCCTCGGGCAAGGGCCCCTGCCGAAGGCAGCCCTCACTGGCCCAGGTCCATGCATGACGGGAAAAAAGAAAAAAGAAAAAATAAAATAAAAGGAAAAGAAAGGAAAAAAAGAAAAAAAGAGAAAAATTTTAAAAATATTATCCACAACAACGTTGCTCGTGCCACGTAGGACGGCTAGCACTGACTAGACCGCTACGTTAGCAATTTCTGATCAAAATTGGATAGAAGAACAAAATCGACAAATCATCAAAAGTTATAAGATAAAATTGGCACAATTAAAAGATATATAACTAAATTGACAAGTTGTCAAAATATTTATGACTAAATTGACACAATTGAAAGGTTTAGGACTGCTTGGCCATTGTACAATAGATTTAGGACTTTTGGGACAATTTTCCCGAGATTGATCATTCCATAAGGCTATGTGATTGAAAAATTGCACAATATCTCTCAGTTAACGCACTATGCACAAATAACAAATTCCTAAATGTAGAATTAACTACGACCATTATCTTCTTTTGTGGTGTAGTTCACGGGGCCAATTATGCACTTTGCAAGGCCAAAGAGATGCAAGTGTTGAGTGTGGCTAATGTCATCGGCTTTTGACATCACAATTGCAATCCAATGTGGAAAAAAGGTCACACGAGGCGTCACTCTCCACCAGTTGTATAGTCGGAATCCTACACCCACACTAATTAAATCGTCTCCCCAAATGAAAACTCTCTTAAGTGCAAGCCAGTCATCACCCTCTCTAGTAGATTCCTATTATAGTCTCATATCATCTCTTTGGCAAAAGATTTGGATCTTCTAAACTCAAGCTATATATTTATATCGTAAGTTTACCTCTTGAAAAGACGGCACATCAGTATATTACGTTTTCGACCAAAAAATAAGTATATTACATTTCAACGAAAGAGAAGTATTCTCTCTTCCTTTTTCTTTTTCCTCTTTTTCATTCTTTTATCCTTTTTCCCTTCTACTACTTCCTCCTCCTCATCGAGCACCTTCTTCACTTCCTTTCATGGATACCATTGTGGCACACCAATGGTTGCCGCCCTCCCATCGTCACGTCTAGGCCTAGCGTCACAGTCACCATTTGTGATGAACCTTCGCAACATCTCTCTCTATATGTATGTGTGTGTGCCCATGATTACCGAGCCCCCCTGAGGGTGTGTTGACAAGAAGCGGTGGATGACCGTGATGGGGTGCAAGCAAGGGGTCGTTGGTGACGGAAGCTATTGGTGATGGTGGAGAGAGAGAGAGAGAGAGAGAGAGAGAGAGAGAGAGAGAGAGAGAGAGAGAGAGAGAGAGAGAGAGAGAGAGAGAGAGAGAGAGAGAGAGAGAGAGAGAGAGAGTCATTGTGTCATTTTGAGGTAGTCAAGTCTCTAATTGTGAAGGATCCCAATCCTTTGACAAACTCCATTCTCATCCACTCAAGAACAGGAAGAAAAAAAAAAATACAAGGGACTGAAAGAGTGGTAAAAATGATCGAGACTTTACACATGTCAAGAAGCATGAGATCTCAAATTCGACTTTTAGCTCCTTGGCACAACCTCTCACGGCCAAGGCACGAATTAAACTAGTTTACACCATGAAATCAATGTTTTTAGTAACCCGAAGTCAATCATTGAGATAAATTCATGAGGACCGGCACGATCTTAAATTCGACTCGTTGCTACATGCATGTTCTACACCATCTAAATTTTTCGTTACTAACCCCTAGCCGTGTCATGGATGACCACTTGACACGCCTTCGATCCAAAGAGGTGGATTTAGTCCGGTCGTGAAAGCTCATCCAGAATATATTAAAACATGACCGGGATATAACGGAAGTGTTTTTCAGCAAGGGACAAAAGGGAAGAGGAAAAAGAATAAGAAAGAAAAAGATGTGCAAGACTTTGCTGTCTCTACATGCTTCTCTTGTCTAAAGTCA